TAAAGATGTCGACCAAGTTGTGTGGGATTTGTACGAAAAAGGTTTCGTTGCCAATTATTATAATTGGACTTCTCATGGCGAACCTTTCGACCCATCACTTTTACCACAAACAGTAGGTTCATCTCATAACGTCCCTACCGAGATGAGTGTATGGGGAGACTATGATCAAATGACGTGGGATCAAAAAATGGCATATGATGTATACGGTGCTTCAACGATTCAGTTTAACCCACCACAGCCATTTAACGATCTTCCCGAAGCTTCGACCTCGTATCAACCCGATGCGGATGAAGATCCGACCTTTTATCACCCTGATGCGGATGAGTATCCAAATTCTCATGTTCCTCATATTGAAGACTTAGCTGAAAGATTTCAAGATGTTTTAAAAGCTGTCGATCAGCCTCTGTATGCTGATTGTGAGGGATACTCTCAGCTATCCGCCGTTACAGAGTTGATGAACATTAAATCTGAATACAGTCTTCCTGAATCTTGCATGTCTAGGTTATTGCAGTCATTTGGAGGAATGTTACCGTGTGACCATAATCTTCCTGATTCATATTACAAAATGAAACAATTAATGTCTCAGTTGGGGCTTCCTTGTATAGAAATTGATGCGTGTCCAGAAGGATGTATGTTGTTCTGGAAGGATGATGTGGCACTTGAGAGCTGCAAGTTCTGTGGTGGAGAGAGATACAAGCCTGTTCCTCATAGACGAAAAAAACCACGAAAAAGGTCTGCATTGTCTAAATTGTTTTACCTCCCTCTAGCTCCACGCCTGAAGAGGATGTATGCTTCAAATGCTACTGCGAAACACATGACGTGGCATGTTGAGCACGAAACCAAAGAGGGTTTGATGTCTCACCCTTCCGACTGTGAAGCTTGGAGACACTTTGACCGTTGTCATCCTCAGTTTGCTGGACGAAGAAGGGTGCCATGCCGCCTCCCCGCCTTTCTGAAATTGAAGTAAATAATGAAACATAATTCAATAAATTTCGTTTTTTTTTTATCTCGTATATAATAAATTTTTGAACTTGTAGAAAAAATATGAGGAAGAGCGGGGGAAGAGAGTTGATGAGCTGGCTGATTCTGATGACGAACTTGATGAAAATCAAGAATATGAGGCCATCTTGGCGGCAACCGGAGTTTACAAGGGTCGGGTGCCGCTTATGGGTTCTGAAGGCGTACGGATCCTAGAGAAGGCCAAAGGAGCTAGCTCATCTTCTCATTCGGCATATGATGATCGGGTTACCCGCCTCGAGAAACTATTGGAGGAACGTGAAGCCGAGGCTCGAAGGCGGGATGAAGAAGCTCGAATACGGGATGAAGAGCAAAGAAGAAAAAGAGAAAGGTTGGAAGAGATGGAACGCCAAATGCGTATTTTCAACGCCACCTACCGTCCATCCATGCACATACAGCACCCCGAGATGACCCCACAAATTCCCTTCGCGGGCAATATGGGCAATATGGGCAGTATGGGCAGTAGGGGTTTTGCTAATTATAGCCATATCTCCAACAACTTTCCATATGGATATTATGATGATATCCCGACTCCCGGAGCTCAAGCTTACCGTGGCAGCAGCCGTGCTGGCAGCCGCAGTGGCAGTCGAGGCAGCCATCGTGGTGGCAACCGTGGCCACAGAAGGCAACCCGATCATCGTGACGAACCTGATGATGCTGATGCTGATGCTGATTATGATGACCATTGATGGTTTGTAATAATTAGTTGATTAACATTTTAAGGATTTTTAAATTTTGATGTGTTAATGTCTGAATATTAATTATTTGTGTTTTATAATGATGGTTTGATTAGATTATTATTTATTATGATACCTAATATTTAATGGTGATTAATGATGATTAATGATGATTGTTTAATTATTTATTATAAACAATTATTTATTAAGATTATTGTTTAACTATTTATTAAAAACAATGCTTATTAAGTTTAAATCTTTGAAAAAGCACCTAAATTTTAATGGTTATTATTTATTAAATAAACTTTTGAAATAAACATTCAAAAAATTAATGCGCTGAATTTTTAATTTTTTTTTTAAAAATTTAATTTTTTATCACGGACTGTTCCGTGACAAAATATAAATTCATTTTATTCTAAATACATAAAACGCTGAAAATAACGTATTTTTTTATTTAAAAAAAATGTTTTGTCACGGATGGGATCCGTGACAAATTCAAAATTTTGAATTTTTTTGAAAATTTTAAAGCACCCGCCCACTGTATTTTAAAATTTTCAAATTTTTTTCAAAATGTTTTGTCACGGATATTTCCGTGACAAAATTTAAAATTTGAATTTTCCGGATCGTTTCAAATACCCGTCCACTTTATTTCGAAAAACCTTTTTTTAAATTTGTCACGGAAATTTCCGTGACAAATAACTTTTTTTTTTGAAAAATAAAAAAATTTATTCACGGATGCGTCCGTGACAAATGAAAGACGATGGGGTTCCGGTGAAGTGTTTTGTCACGGACGGTGGCCGTGACAAATCCGTGACAAAAAGTCTCACAGATTAATTTCCGTGACAAAAACGTTATCACGCCCCTGGTGTCACGGATTTTTTCCGTGACAAATCCGTGACAAAAAATCATTTGTCACGGATTTTTTGAACTACCGTCCGTGACAAAATCCGTGACAAACGGCGTGTTTTTTTGTAGTGGAAGGAGAAGACAAAAAAAGAAAAGAAGAAGAACAAGAAGAATAAGAAGAAGGGTAAAGGAGGTGACCTCTCATGGTGAAACAACGACAGCGGCAAAGGGAGGAGCAAAAGAAAAAGATGAAGAAACTTACTTGGATAGAGACATCCATCGATTGCTAGCGACATTGATCGCACCCAGCGAATCGATGCAGCATCAATTAAGAAGGGTCTTTTTGTCCAAATACAAATAATTAGTCATATTAAGGGAATTTAAAACATTATGTCCTATTTTTGCAATTCTATCTTCCTTTAATCCTATTCAGGGAATTCGCTCTTTTTTTGAACTCAACGACGTATTCCGATTTTGGATCAATAAAACTTTTGCTTGTTTTTGTAGATATTGAATATTTGTACTAATTTGGGCGCAACTTGATGGAAACACCTATAAATAGCACACTGTGAACATTTAAATTTAATATCTATTATTCGTTGTTGGGATATATTATCCCGGTCTGTTACTGTTCAGGAGCCCAAGACTTTGACTCAATACGGAGCCCAGTCAGCGAGGCCCATTTCGGCCTATCAGGTCAGTTTTGGCTCTTTGGGCCCATTTCGGCCCACTTGGCCCATTAGGTTTGCTTTGCACCCTCCCGTCTATTTTCTATAAATAGAGGGCTTCTCTCCAACTTTAGGAGAGCCTTTTCTTCTTCCTCCCTCTCTCTAGCTAGTTGTAACCTCCATTAATGGGAGCTTCAAGATTTGTATAATGTAATGGTGAACAGAGTCTAATGACAATGAGAGGGCTTGGACATTAGCCTAAAAAGTCCCGTGCAGGGGCGGAGCCAAGGCACTGGGCCAGACAGGACCGGTACAAAGAATATTATTGCAAAAAAATTTACATGAAATTTTTTACACTAAAAATATTGACATTTTTTAAATTTGGGGTGGGCCAGGGCCTAGCCTGGGCACCCCCTAGCTCCGCCCATGGTCCCGTGGTTTTCTCCCTTTCCAGGTTTCCATGTAAAAATAGCTTGTTCATACAAATTTATACTTATATTTACTATATCGTGTTGGATTAAACTCAACATTCGTCTTATTGGGCCTGTTTTGAATGTTATTGGGCCAATGTCAGATTCTACCAGCTTACTCGTGATGATTGTTGGGCTTATCAAAAGGAAAATAATCATATGGGTCCATTCGGATAAAATTTAGTGATTAAATTAAATTGGATCATTTAAAGTATCCAATTAAAATTTAGTGATTATAAATTAAGACTTTAAAATAAGGGATTGTTTCAAAAATATTACTAAAATAAAACTTATTTACACAAGTATAACTAGTAGTTTCTACAATATAGTATCATGGTAACTTAAGTTTAAAAAATGAACATAAGTTACTATGATTCCATTACTATTCTAGTCACTAGTCATATTTTTCTATACAATCTTTATTTTAGTCATAAGTATGTAAATATATCTTAAAAGAATATATAATGGATTGGTCCTATTAATTTCTATATTTTGAGCCCATTATTAAATAGTGATCCAATGAAAAAGAAACATGATGCAATTTGTGGAAAGGACAACGAATCTAGTTAATAAATTCATCCAAATTCATGAAAAATAGCTACGAACCTTGTTAAGACAACTGACCAGATGCGTTACATAAGTGCTGATTTTTCTAGCTATTAAAATGCAAGCAAATAGAGCTCAAAGCCTATTTCAATTAAGGTTCAAGGTGCATGGATGAATTTTGTAACACCGTCCCCAGGTATATTTACTTTTGTGTAAACTATGTATTGAACCTTGAGAAATGGTTAATGAGTTTACGAGGTTGTTATTTTTTGTTATTACTTTTGCGTGAATAGTAAATTACACGTGGGGCCCACACCGGGAGCGGGGACCAACCAATATTCCGGGACCGCATATTATATTCATCTTGATATAGCTAATATGTATATGGTGGTGGATAGTCATGTTGGGCCATAGAAGAGGCATAGTGTTCACCGGTTGGTCAAACGAGGCCCAATTACGCATATTGGTATTTCGTCGGATAACAGCCCGTAATAAATTACGAGGACTTCTAAACTAAAGTTGGTGAATCTATATTCATTCTAAAGACCCATGGTGATTGGAAACATGTCGTATATTTTATTTGGTGCGATGAAATAAAATATAATTAGAACAGTCTGAAAAATACAACTTTCGGGGCCGGATGTGCATTTCGAGACAAGATGGGATGACCTCCCACATGAGTTGGGGCCACCCCATGTTTTTGTGTGCTCAAAGTCAAATTGAGACAACGATATATGCTAGAGGTGAGGGCTATGGGCTGGAGATTGGAGGGATGAGTGATAATAAACTTGAACTGGACCTCCCATCAACAATCATTGGTACATTGAGACAAAAAAGACCACGTTCATCCTTCCTCTCCATCATTTTCGACCAAGACATCCGAAAAAGAGAGAGCTCTGAAAATATCATCTTCCATAGCCGAATTCGAGCTCAAGCTCAAACAGGTCACAAAACGGAGTTCAAGGAAGAAAAAGGAAGGAAAAGTGTGGAGGATTTAAGGTGATGACCTTATAATAACTTTTCCTCTACTCTTTATCTATCAAATGACTTATATATCATATGAGGAAACTCTAGTATGGTTTTCCATATTTAGAAGTGTAGAATGAGGGGTTGGAAGGTAGTTCTAAGTCCAAGAACGGAGTTGAAAGAGTCACCAGAGTTATCGTCGGAGTTCAACGAAGTTTGTCGAAGCTTCGAGGAGGGTTGAACCACTTAAATCTCATTCGAGATGACTTGACTGCTTAATGGCTTATAATTCTTAGGTTAAGTATGAGATTACCTAAATAAATGTTATATGTATTCAAAATGATGTTAAAAGAGTTTAAACATGTGATAAGCCAAGGTGATTAGGCTTATGGGAACTAATATCGTATACTACGCATGTAATTGAATAAAAATGCATATAAAAACATATGTGATGTTTTGAATGGCCAAAATGGCATTTATTGATTGTTTAGGATTTAATACATATTGTTTATAAGTTTCAGAGCAAATGGAGTACGTTTCAGGGGTTAAGGGGTTGTTGACCTGGGACACCTGATGGACGGGCGCCGGCCAGGGGCCTGAACTGGCGCCGGTTAGGCCACTGTCTGGCCGGTTCAGGAGAAAATGCAGTGAAGCGGCGCCAGTATGAGGGAGAACCGGCGCCGGTTATCCTACGGGTTCCGATACCCGTTTTTGCCGAAAACGGGGGCCCAATTTGAGGGGGGGGGGGGGGGGGGGGGGGGGTCAACTCCGGCCTTCCTATATATGTATATTTTGCATAGTATTGCATGGAATATGATGTTTAAATGCTAAGGCTTGATATTTGATGATTAATTTCTAAGGCTTGGTTTAGTCGTTAGTGATGATTAAACAATTATTTATTAAGATTATTGTTTAACTATTTATTAAAAACAATGCTTATTAAGTTTAAATCTTTGAAAAAGCACCTAAATTTTAATGGTTATTATTTATTAAATAAACTTTTGAAATAAACATTCAAAAAATTAATGCGCTGAATTTTTAATTTTTTTTTTAAAAATTTAATTTTTTATCACGGACTGTTCCGTGACAAAATATAAATTCATTTTATTCTAAATACATAAAACACTGAAAATAACGTATTTTTTTATTTAAAAAAAATGTTTTGTCACGGATGGGATCCGTGACAAATTCAAAATTTTGAATTTTTTTGAAAATTTTAAAGCACCCGTCCACTGTATTTTAAAATTTTCAAATTTTTTTCAAAATGTTTTGTCACGGATATTTCCGTGACAAAATTTAAAATTTGAATTTTCCGGATCGTTTCAAATACCCGCCCACTTTATTTCGAAAAACCTTTTTTTAAATTTGTCACGGAAATTTCCGTGACAAATAATTATTTTTTTTTGAAAAATAAAAAAATTTATTCACGGATGCGTCCGTGACAAATGAAAGACGATGGGGTTCCGGTGAAGTGTTTTGTCACGGACGGTGGCCGTGACAAATCCGTGACAAAAAGTCTCACGGATTAATTTCCGTGACAAAAATGTTATCACGCCCCTGGTGTCACGGATTTTTTCCGTGACAAATCCGTGAAAAAAAATCATTTGTCACGGATTTTTTGGACTACCGTCCGTGACAAAATCCGTGACAAACGGCGTGTTTTTTTTGTAGTGGAAGGAGAAGACAAAAAAAGAAAAGAAGAAGAACAAGAAGAATAAGAAGAAGGGTAAAGGAGGTGACCTCTCATGGTGAAACAACGACAGCGGCAAAGGGAGGAGCAAAAGAAAAAGATGAAGAAACTTACTTGGATAGAGATATCCATCGATCGCTAGCGACATTGATCGCACCCAGCGAATCGATGCACCATCAATTAAGAAGGGTCTTTTTGTCCAAATACAAATAATTAGTCATATTAAGGGAATTTAAAACATCATGTCCTATTTTTGCAATTCTATCTTCCTTTAATCCTATTCAGGGAATTCGCTCTTTTTTTGAACTCAACAACGTATTCCGATTTTGGATCAATAAAACTTTTGCTTGTTTTTGTAGATATTGAATATTTGTACTAATTTGGGCGCAACTTGATGGAAACACCTATAAATAGCACACTGTGAACATTTAAAATTAATATCTATTATTCGTTGTTGGGATATATTATCCCGGTCTGTTACTGTTCAGGAGCCCAAGACTTTGACTCAATACGGAGCCCAGTCAGCGAGGCCCATTTCGGCCTATCTGGTCAGTTTTGGCTCTTTGGGCCCATTTCGGCCCACTTGGCCCATTAGGTTTGCTTTGCACCCTCCCGTCTATTTTCTATAAATAGAGGGCTTCTCTCCAACTTTAGGAGAGTCTTTTCTTCTTCCTCCCTCTCTCTAGCTAGTTGTAACCTCCATTAATGGGAGCTTCAAGATTTGTATAATGTAATGGTGAACAGAGTCTAATGACAATGAAAGGGCTTGGACATTAGCCTAAAAAGTCTCGTACTCCCGTGGTTTTCTCCCTTTCCAGGTCTCCATGTAAAAATAGCTTGTTCATACAAATTTATACTTATATTTACTATATCGTGTTGGATTAAACTCAACATTCGTCTTATTGGGCCTGTTTTGAATGTTATTGGGCCAATGTCAGATTCTACCAGCTTACTCGTGATGATTGTTGGGCTTATCAAAAGGAAAATAATCATATGGGTCCATTCGGATAAAATTTAGTGATTAAATTAAATTGGATCATTTAAAGTATCCAATTAAAATTTAGTGATTATAAATTAAAACTTTAAAATAAGGGATTGTTTCAAAAATATTACTAAAATAAAACTTATTTACACAAGTATAACTAGTAGTTACTACAATATAGTATCATGGTAACTTAAGTTTAAAAAATGAACATAAGTTAGTATGATTCCATTACTATTCTAGTCAGTAGTCATATTTTTCTATACAATCTTTATTTTAGTCATAAGTATGTAAATATATCTTAAAAGAATATATAATGGATCGGTCCTATTAATTTCTATATTTTGAGCCCATTATTAAATAGTGATCCAATGAAAAAGAAACATGATGCAATTTGTGGAAAGGACAACGAATCTAGTTAATAAATTCATCCAAATTCATGAAAAATAGCTACGAACCTTGTTAAGACAACTGACCAGATGCGTTACATAAGTGCTGATTTTTCTAGCTATTAAAATGCAAGCAAATAGAGCTCAAAGCCTATTTCAATTAAGGTTCAAGGTGCATGGATGAATTTTGTAACACCGTCCCCAGGTATATTTACTTTTGTGTAAACTATGTATTGAACCTTGAGAAATGGTTAATGAGTTTACGAGGTTGTTATTTTTTGTTATTACTTTTGCGTGAATAGTAAATTGCACGTGGGGCCCACACCGGGAGCGGGGACCAACCAATATTCCGGGACCGCATATTATATTCATCTTGATATAGCTAATATGTATATGGTGGTGGATAGTCATGTTGGGCCATAGAAGAGGCATAGTGTTGACCGGTTGGTCAAACGAGGCCCAATTACGCATATTGGTATTTCGTCAGATAACAGCCCGTAATAAATTATGAGGACTTCTAAACTAAAGTTGGTGAATCTATATTCATTCTAAAGACCCATGGTGATTGGAAACATGTCGTATATTTTATTTGGTGCGATGAAATAAAATATAATTAGAACTGTCTGAAAAATACAACTTTCGGGGCCGGATGTGCATTTCGAGACAAGATGGGATGACCTCCCACATGAGTTGGGGCCACCCCATGTTTTTGTGTGCTCAAAGTCAAATTGAGACAACGATAGATGCTAGAGGTGAGGGCTATGGGCTGGAGATTGGAGGGATGAGTGATAATAAACTTGAAGTGGACCTCCCATCAACAATCATTGGTACATTGAGACAAAAAAGACCACGTTCATCCTTCCTCTCCATCATTTTCGACCAAGACATCCGAAAAAGAGAGCTCTGAAAATATCATCTTCCATAGCCGAATTCGAGCTCAAGCTCAAACAGGTCACAAAACGGAGTTCAAGGAAGAAAAAGGAAGGAAAAGTGTGGAGGATTTAAGGTAATGACCTTATAATAACTTTTCCTCTACTCTTTATCTATCAAATGACTTATATATCATATGAGGAAACTCTAGTATGGTTTTCCATATTTAGAAGTGTAGAATAAGGGGTTGGAAGGTAGTTCTAAGTCCAAGAACGGAGTTGAAAGAGTCACCAGAGTTATCGTCGGAGTTCAACGAAGTTTGTCGAAGCTTCGAGGAGGGTTGAACCACTTAAATCTCATTCGAGATGACTTGACTGCTTAATGGCTTATAATTCTCAGGTTAAGTATGAGATTACCTAAATAAATGTTATATGTATTCAAAATGATGTTAAAAGAGTTTAAACATGTGATTAGCCAAGGTGATTAGGCTTATGTGAACTAATATCGTATACTACGCATGTAATTGAATAAAAATGCATATAAAAACATATGTGATGTTTTGAATGGCCAAAATGGCATTTAATGATTGTTTAGGATTTAATACATATTGTTTATAAGTTTCAGAGCAAATGGAGTACGTTTCAGGGGTTAAGGGGTTGTTGACCTGGGACACCTGATGGACGGGCGCCGGCCAGGGGCATGAACTGGCGCCGGTTAGGCCACTGTCTGGCCGGTTCATGAGAAAATGCAGTGAAGCGGCGCCAGTATGAGGGAGAACCGGCGCCGGTTATCCTACGGGTTCCGATACCCGTTTTTGCCGAAAACGGGGGCCCAATTTGAGGGGGGGGGGGTCAACTCCGGCCATCCTATATATGTATATTTTGCATAGTATTGCATGGAATATGATGTTTAAATGCTAAGGCTTGATATTTGATGATTAAATTCTAAGGCTTGGTTTAGTCGTTAGTGATGATATTATATAGACCCTATCTAATGTGATATGTGGTCGATCATAGGTCGGGTGGAGTACCCAAGGACCGGGCGTGTGTCCTCAAAAGTCGGTTAAGTCGGCTGGAGTATCCGGGGACCGGGCGTGTGTCCTCAAAACTCGGTTATGTCGGGTGGAGTACCCAGTGACCGGGTGTGTGTCCTCAAAACTCGGTTATATCGGGTGGAGTACCCAGGTACCGGGCGTGTGTCCTCAAAACTCGGTTATGTCGGGGGGTGGGGGGGTACCCAGGGTCAGGACGCATGTCTTCAAAACTCGATATTAGGGGTGAAGTACCTAGGGTCGGGCGGTGCCTAAAACTTGATTTTACTAGGAGAGTGGCCTAATGGCTGAGTAATGCTATCAACACTCGGTTATATAATGAACCATAGGTTATAACATAAAAGCTAAATAATGGGTCAATTATGGGTAAAGTCAAGGACTAAGTCCACATTATTTTATTGATTTGGTCAAAATGACCTACGAGTTAGATATTTTCCAAGCATCTATACTTGTAGGCATTTCAAAGACTTCAGGAAGGTTATAAACGTATGTATCACCCTATGTTTGGGTCTTATACTTGAAACATTAGTTATTCTACATTTAGCCTGCTGCTCGCTCGGTATTCGCGTCCTGACCCCTTTGCCCCCCCCCCCCCCCCCACCATTTCAGGTTGAAGCTAAAGCGAGATATCCACACATTTTCTCGCTGAAGTGATCTCAAGGAAGATGTGGTTCATGCTTCCTTTACTATTTTGAAACTATAAACTATGCTCATGGATATTTTGTAATGAATAATTTGTTTTGGGCTTGCGAGCCCACGTTTTGCCATATGTGGCCCATGATTGACTATTGAATATTTCCGCTAGTCATTCAATCTATATTGTGATGTTCTTATGTATGTTTACTTACTGAGTATGGTATGTGACAATCCCAGTTCTTAACAATCAAACAATCTAACAGTGATAAGAAATGAAGAAGAAGCAGATAGAAAGATATCGAGAAGATGAAAACCAAATCTGGTATACCATGAACATGGCCGCTGCTCTCCCTCGAGAAGGAGAGCAGCAGAATACCTATCTCTCTATCTCGCCTATATGCACTCTCAAGCCTAAAAAACCTTAGGGTTTTGATATGCACTAATTAGTAGTGCATAAATGTGTGTTTTTATGTTTGATTGATGTGTATTGTTTATCGTTTTACTTAGTTTGTAAACATTTGTGTGATTTTAGTTGTAATTGTATTTTAATCTTCATTTGTAAGTTGTAAAGTAGAATTAGGAATTATGTTGTTGAAAAGGATGACTTAGAAGTGAAGAAAAAGGAGGTTTTACTGCCCAGGAGCAAATACCCGACCGGGTAGAAGACTTCACCCGGTCGGGTCTGATTCAACAAACGAAAGTGCCTGGAAAGTGCACTCACCCGGTCGGGTCCCCTACCCCACCCGGTCAGGTCTGACTTGATTCAACAAACGAAAGTGCTTGGAATATTAATGCATGCATCTCATGGTTAATATGCCAAGGGGAATTAATTATATTGATTAAACCAATAAACCGCTTGTGTTGAGGTTATCAATCTCAATCGTTTTCATCTTAAGTTTATTGCTACTATCAAGTTAATATACGGCGCTTGTTCTATATTGACTCGATAATAAGTTTTATTAATGAACGCATCTCGTTATTAATAACTACCCTCGATGAACTGGATATACTCCTCGATTGAGTATTCGATAGGAAGATAGTTAAAGATATAACCAGGATCGACGAACATTTCATTAAGTGGATAAAAGCAAAACCAAGTCCTCATCTCATTAAATTAAACTCATATAGGTTGTTCATCTTAGTGTTTTTAAATCAAACAAATCTAAACCCCCCTTGTTACTACTTATATAGAAGAAAAGTATTCCTTTCCCTGTGGATACGAATCTTACTTCATTATACTACGTATTAGTGTTGTATTGTAATTATTTTGAGTGCACCTCACGACAAGTGCACGTCAAATTTGGCGCCGTTGCCAGGGAAAGGCAATAATTTTTCTTTTATTGTATTTCAATATATATATATATAT